CTACTATATTATGATCACTACATCCGATGGATTTGGATACTGCTTTACAGCAGATTTCTACAGCATTAGTAAAGATGTCATCAATACATGTTGATGATTTAATTCCTGTACTGTTTGTAACTACCTGGGTAGGTTGACTGATAACCTGAACCAGGTTGTAGGCAATGGTTACAGTTTGAAGCTTTTTCTTGAGTTGGCAGCTTGACGAAAGCCAGTCAATATTTAGGTCACCCAGAAAATATACCTCTCTGTTGATATCACATACAATATCAAGCATTTCACACATATTATCCAGATACTGACTGTTAGCACTTGGTCGTCTATAGCAACTTCCCACCAGAATGGGCTTTAGGTGAGGCAGATAAACATTTTACATTTTTAAATTTTTTGTCATTTAGCAGACGCTCTTATCCAGAGCGACTTACAGTTTTTTTTTTTCATACCCCCCCGTGGGAATCGAACCCACAACCCTGGCGTTGCGAACGCCATGCTCTACCAACTGAGCTACATCCCTGCCGGCCATTCCCTCCCCTACCCTAGACGACGCTGGGCCAATTATGCGCCGCCCCATGGGTCTCCCGGTCGCGGCCGGCTACGACAGAGCCTGGATAAACCTGTAGCCATATTACTTCAACAGTATTTAGGATCAGGTCCTGCAATTGTAACAGTAAGCAACTGTAACAACATTTATGTAGCCGTTATTATGAGTACATTTGCATGGATTGCTAAGGCATAAGAATATGAAAGTGTGTATTCTTATTTAAAATTTACACTGAACAAAAATATAAACGCAACCTGCAGCAATTTCAAACATTTTACTGAGTTACATTTCATATAAGGAAATCAGTAAATTGAAATAAATACATTAGGCCCTAATCTATGAATTTCACATGACTGGGAATACAAATCAAATCAAATCAAATCAAATTTTATTGGCCACATGTGCCGAATACAACAGGTGCAGATATTACAGTGAAATGCGTACTTACAGCCCTTAACCAACAGTGCATTTCTTTTTAATGAAAAAGTAAAATAAAACAACAACAAAAAAGTGTTGAGAAAAAAAGAGCAGAAGTAAAATAAAATAACAGTAGGGAGGCTATATATACAGGGGGGTACCGGGGCAGAGTCAATGTGCGGGGGCACCGGCTAGTTGAGGTAGTTGAAGTAATATGTACATGTGGGTAGAGTTAAAGTGACTATGCATAAATAATTAACAGAGTAGCAGCAGCGTAAAAAGATGGGGTGGGGGGGCAGTGCAAATAGTCCGGGTAGCCATGATTAGCTGTTCAGGAGTCTTATGGCTTGGGAGTCTTATGGCTTGGGGGTAGAAGCTGTTGAGAAGTCTTTTGGACCTAGACTTGGCACTCCGGTACCGCTTGCCGTGCGGTAGCAGAGAGAAAAGTCTATGACTAGGGTGGCTGGAGTCTTTGACAATTTTGAGGGCCTTCCTGTTAGTCACAGATACGTAGGGGCATGGATCAGAAAACCAGTCAGTATCTGGTGTGACCACCATTTGCTTCATGCAGCACGACACATCTCCTTTGCATAGAGTTGATTAGGCTGTTGATTGTGGCCTGTGGAATGTTGTCCCACTCCTCTTCAATGGCTGTGCGAAGTTGCTGGATATTGGCGGGAACTGAAACATGCTGTTGTACACGTCGATCCAGAGCATCCCAAACATGCTCAATGGGTGACATGTCTGGTGAGTATGCAGGCCATGGAAGAACTGGGACATTTTCAGCTTCCAGGAATTGTGTATTGCCATGCATTATCATGCTGAAACATGAGGTGATGGTGACGGATCAATGGCACGACAATGGGCCTCAGGATCTTGTCAAGGTATCTTTGTGCATTCAAATTTCCATCGATAAAATGAAATTGTGTTCGTTGTCCGAAAGCTTATGCCTGCCCACCCCACCATGGGACATCTCTTCACAACATTGACATCAGCAAACCGCTCGCCCACATGACGCCATCTGCCCGGTACATCTGTGAAGAGCACACTTCTCCAGTGTGCCGGTGGCCATCGAACGTGAGCATTTGCCCACTGAAGTAGGATACGACGGCAAACTGCAGACAGGTCAAGGACCTGGTGAGGCCGACGAGCACGCAGATGAGCTTCCCTGAGATGGTTTCTTACAGTTTGTGCAGAAATCCTTTGGTTGTGCAATGCCACAGTTTCATCAGCTGTCTGGGTGGCTGGTCTCAGATGATCCCATAGGTGAAGAAGCCGGATGTGGAGGGCTGGCGTGGTTACACGTGGTCTGCGGTTGTGAGGCCGGTTTGACATACTGCCAAATTCTCTAAAACAACGTTGGAGGTGGCTTATGGTAGAGAAATTAACATTAAATGATCTGGCAACAGCTCTGGTGGACAATCCTGCAGTCAGCAAGCTAATTGCACACTCCCTCAAAACGTGAGACATCTGTGTCATTGTGTCAAGGTGCACCTGTGTAATGATCATGCTGTTTAATCAGCTTCTTGATATACCACATCTGTCAGGTGGATGGATTATCTTAGCAAAGGAGAACTGCTCACTAACAAGGATGTAAACAAATTTGTGCACAAAATCTGAGAGAAATAAGCTTTTTGTGTATTTTTTTTTAGCTCATGAAATATGGGACCAACGATTTACATGTTTAGTTTATATTTTTGCTCAGTTTACAACAGTATGAGTTAATAATACCCATAAAACCTAGCGGTCAAACATGGAAATGGTTCCAATCGTTTTTCCACCATTCGTTGTTTCAGTGTTTCTAAAATCCCCTATGGGAAACATGATTGGTGGGAAAACGATTGGAACCATTTCCCTGTTTGACCCCAAGGTTTTATGGGTAATTATGACACCACCACTGTGAGGCTCTATTGTCCTTTTTTTTATATATCTAATTTATGTAGTTCTGTACCTGTCTATTAATGTTGTGTATTATTTCATTTTATGTAGTTCTGTCCTTCAGCTGTAATTGTCTATTCATGTAATTAAGACGTGCCTTGGCATCAGGATATCAGGGCCTGCTCAGAGAAAGAAAATTGTGAGCAAAGCCTCAGTCGAGTAAGAACGCGCTGCTCCATATGATAGTGGTAGTCTGGTCATCTTACTGATGTTAGTCAGTACAGCAAAGTTTTAATGAAGTGTATGAAAGTGTATTCTTATTTTGTGTGTGTGACTGGTGGATGCTGCTGGGTGTGAGGTGTAGGTGCGGGGGAATGAAAATGGAAACGCAAAACAAGAACTTTACTCATTTTCATTCATGTCCAAAGGCCACGCGCTATACCTTAGCTAACCCTTATGGTCAGTAGATTGTAACACAGTACACTAATACCTTATGGACGGTAGACTGTAACAGGGGTATCATGTTTGATTTAGTTCACTTCTATGCACTAGATGATGATCAATACATAATGTTAAATGTACTGAACGGAGTGGAGTGATGGATCTCTAAAAAGTCCACGTATGTAGCTAAAGTGAAGTATTAAATGGAAAACTTTAGTTGGAGAAAACGTCAAGGCCTTTCTTCTTCTCGCAACAGCCCGAGGGAGCTCAAGAGCGTCCTGATTGGTTGGAATAGGCAAGCCTTTGAAAGTCCTGAAGGCCAATCAGATTGATAGGGCTGGACTTTTTTTTTTACAATTCGGAAGGGCTGTTGTAAACCAATTGCAGATATGCCAGCGGTCCAGTGAAATAACCCCATTGGAGGAGAGACTCGAATGATCGGCATGGAATTGTATAGTGAACGAGTGGGTGATTGATTGACCGAGTGCAATCGGGTGTTATGTAACGAAAGAGACCGTTAGTAGCCTACTGATGATTTGATTGGATACATGATGAGACGGGTGATCAAAAACAAGTACACGTATTTGTATGAATAAGAGAAGGAGCGAGGAAAGAAAGAGAGAGAGAGGATTGCACATCTGGAAATGTTGGTAAGTGCAGCTATTCTATTCATTCTGTATTCACATCATCATTGTGTAATTGCGTTATATTGTTGATAACAATATAGCCTAATTTAATGTCATGTCATGTAGCCTGGGAATTTCTGTAAGGGCTGACACGCCAATGGACTATTCCATTTTATAACGTCTGTCATTATAAAGACATCAAAATGAAACGGTCATAAAGGTTTGTACTGTGTCATATAAAACTCGGCAAACATATGCGGAATGGAAGAGGAGTCCATGGCCAAACAATGGCGCATCTCCGTTTTCTTTATTATTTATTGATGAGAACATTTCAATGCTCTTTGTCTCTATTCTAATATAGTGTTACAAATAAACATCGTGCTAAATTGCATCGATGCTCAACAGATTAGAATAGGAACTCCATACAGAATGCTACAGGTATTCGTTATTAGATATTTTGAGCATTTGAGCAACATATTTAATGGCTTCGATGTTCTTAGAATAGAAACTCCACAGCATTATAGGCCATAGACTGGCTAACATTCCTGCGCCTCTACAGGTATTCGTCATTCGATATTTTCAGCAAATCAATTGAGCAACATATTTTGTTGTACAACGCTGTCTGGAAAACATCTCCCTTCCCTCTGGCAGAAGAATCGCAGGTTAGCGTTTTTCGTCATGTATCTTGTTCTGGAGGCAGCTCTGCAAAGTGGTCACTAGCTGGCACAGCCACAAAGTAATAAAATCTGATTTTAAACCTAACCCTAACCTTAAATTAAGACCAAAAAGCAAATTTTGTTCATTAATTTTTACTTACAATATAGCCAGTTTTCACTTACTTTGAAGCTGGACCATCGAGCAGAAATCGCTCAGTTCTGCCTCCAGGACAAGACATCCCAATAAACATCAAACTGCAGAAGAATCACACCATTTCACCATGTAGGTGTGGCTTGGCTCAGACAGCATGCTCTGATTCCATTCCCTGACTCCCTCCCTGTACCTTGCATTTGACTAGTCCTCAGTGTGCTTCAGTTGGACGGACTCGACAGAGCGCAGCCGACACAGCGACGGTGTGAGTGGAGCAGAGAGAACCGAGGATGGGGGGCGGAGGCCAGCAGACGGAGTCAGGCGAGCCGGCCAAGGGTGACAGGGGTGGGCTCGGTGGAGGGGGAGGAGGGCGAGGTGGCAGTGCAGTCTACACCTGGGAAGAGGTCCAGAGGCACTCCCACAGAGGCGATCAGTGGTTGGTCATCGACAGGAAGGTCTATAATATTACCCAGTGGGTGAAGAGACACCCGGGGGGCATCAGGGTCATCAGTCACTTTGCTGGAGAAGATGCCACGGTCAGTAGCCTAACTATGGAAGTTGTTGGTGAAATGTTCTCAAGCTATTCCAATAAGACTGTTGCAAATGTTATAATGTTGTAGGTTTAGAAATGTTTAGTGGTCTGTCACTGTATGACATATTACACAAGATGTTAGTGGATTGTACATTGCTGGATCCTAATATCATGATAATCTCTCAACTAATCTCACAGTGAATTAATTGTTATTTATTTTTACTGAGAGGACATTTGTATGTATTTCTCTTAAACAACACAGATTCATCTATATCTCTGATTTCTAGGAAGCATTTTCCGCCTTCCATCCCGATCCTAATTTTGTCCGGAAGTTTCTGAAGCCGTTGCTGATTGGAGCGCTGGCACCCACAGAGCCCAGCCAAGACCAGGGGAAAAATGTGAGGATGCCTATCTTTCTCTCTCCATCTCCCTCTACAGCACCACGCCCATAACATACACCGCTGTAGGCTACATAATGAAACATAGAATGTGAAGCCTAAAGCATCTCTCCATCTGACATAGCACCAGGCCCACTCTAACATACTGTAGGTTTAGGTAGGGACCCGGAGACCAATGTGAGGCCAATCTTTCTCTTGCTAATAGGGAACTCCATGCTACTCAGACAGAATGCTGTGCAGAATGGTACTTTCTACGACTGTGGTAAGAGCAGGTGTGATGTGTATGGAGATATTTCAAGACAAGGTTTACCTCCTACAGATGTAGTGTGGCATCTTCAGTTATCTAATATAACTAGGGCACATTATACCAGCCTGTCTATGTGCCCAGATGCCCCGCTGCCCGCTGTCTGTTTACCTATTCAGGAGTCTTACCTCTTATCCTGGTACTCTTCAGCTTTCTGTTACTCCTATTTCCTTCTTCTTCTTCTTCATTATTTACACTGTCCTCCTCCTCTCCTGTCCTCCTCCTCTCCTCCACTCCCTCAATTCTCATCTCTCTACCATCATCCACCTTCCTCCTGGTTCATCTTGGCTTTATCACAGTTTGTCTTTCTGCAATTCCTCGCATCCTGTCACCTCGCCTCCTCGAATCAATAACAGTTTAATTGAGATGACCCCTTACTTCATACATCTTTATTTATTATTGATCACCTCTACGCCATACAGGCAGCACTGGTGCAGGACTTCCAGGCCTTGCGTGATCGTGTGGAGAGGGAGGGACTCCTCCGTGCCCGCCCCCTGTTCTTCAGCCTCTACCTGGGCCACATCCTGCTACTAGAGGCCCTGGCTTTGGGCCTGCTCTGGGTCTGGGGGACCAGCTGGAGCCTCACACTGCTCTGTTCCCTCATGCTGGCCACGTCTCAGGTACCATTACAGTATTATTAGGAAGCAGAAGGAGATATTTGACAGGCAGATTCTAAGGTTAGGTATAGGGATCGAAGGTTAGGGGATTAGGGTTAGGATTAAGGTTAGGGTTGGTGGGGTTAGGGGAAAGGTTAAGGTTAGGATTAAGGTTAGGGTTAGGGGAAAGGATAGGGTTGGTGGGGTTAGGGTAAAGGTTAGGCATATGGTTAGGGTTAGGGGAAAGGTTAAGGTTAGGATTAAGGATAGGGTTGGTGGGGTTAGGGTAAAGGTTAGGCATAGGGTTACCGAACCACCGTTCAGACACCATTCACACTCTGCATTTCTTTTTCCCTCTCAGTCCCAGGCTGGCTGGCTGCAGCATGACTTCGGCCACCTGTCAGTCTTCAAGAAATCCAGTTGGAATCACAAACTGCACAAGTTTGTCATTGGACATCTAAAGGTAAGCTACTGGACAATGGTTGGACATCTAAAGGTAAGCTACTGGACAATGGTTGGACATCTAAAGGTAAGCTACTGGACAATGGTTAGACATTTGACAACACTGTTTCTTTAGGCTACTCTTTGGGCCAGTTTCCCGGACACAGCTTAACCCTAGTCCTGGACTGAAAACCATTCTCAATGAATAATCTCCTTTGAAAGTACATTTTACTCCAGCACTAGGTTTAATCTGTGTTCAGGAAACTGGCCCTTTCACTTTCCTACATTCACAAGAGCAGTGTTACATTTCCAACTTCACTGCTATCCATTAGCCTTATTTAGTGTAGTGTCCCAACAGTTGGAAGTTACAGTAAGTGTAATTGTGTTTACCAGTGATACGTAACAGTAGCTGTGTGTTTCCAGGGTGCCTCTGCCAACTGGTGGAACCATCGTCACTTCCAGCACCACGCTAAACCCAACGTGTTTAGTAAAGATCCTGATATCAACTCACTGCATGTCTTCGTCCTGGGAGACAAACAGCCTGTTGAGGTAGTTATCACTATAATGGATCTGTGAATGTGATCCCTGCGGGAACTGAACCCGCAACCTTAGTGCTTTATGACCCATCTGACTCCATGTTATATTTGAATAATAATGTATGAATTCATGTAATAATATGAATGTAATAGTTAATTAAATTAATGTAATATTCATGAAATAACCATGTAACGGTTTGGCTCAGTAGTGTTGAAACGGTATTAGTGCTTCTGTGTAAGATCCATCTGACTCCTTGTCTCTGTCTATTGCAGTATGGTATAAAGAAGTTGAAGTACATGCCTTACCATCACCAACACAAGTACTTCTTCCTCAGTAAGTTTCATGAATTTCTGTATAGCATCACATCAATTATAGCATCACATCAACTTCCATTGAACACATAAAATCAATAGATAGACGGCTGATGTATGTATGTATGTATGTATGTATGTATGTATGTATGTATGTATGTAATACCTATGTAGTATTTTCCTTCTGTCTCTCAGTTGGACCTCCACTAATTATTCCAGTGTTTTTCAACATCCAGATATTTCGGACCATGTTTTCACAACGGGACTGGGTGGTGAGATTTCATACCAACTAAACGTATACTTAATCCTCTTCATTCCTATGTGGAACATAAAGCTTCCACGAGAGAGAGAGAGAGAGACACACCTGTAATTATATGATTATGCTAACACCTGGAGGTGATAATGTCTGTCCATAATACCAATCTTTGTCTCCTGTGAAGGATCTGGCGTGGTCGATGACTTTCTACCTCCGCTTCTTCTGCTGTTACTACCCCTTCTTTGGTCTCTTTGGCTCAGTAGCCTTGATCAGCTTCGTCAGGTAAAGTATGAACTGAGAGGGAGCTGAAAGATTCATTCATTCATTCGCTGGTTCGCTCACTCACTCACTGATTCATTCATTAATTGTATTCAAACTATCTACAGTATAGAAAACAACACAATGATGTGCTTGATGTAAGAATTGAACATAGTATTGTGGCTGAATATTGTACTGTATATAGGTTTTTGGAAAGCCACTGGTTTGTTTGGGTGACCCAGATGAATCATCTTCCTATGGAGATGGATCACGAGAGACGCCAGGACTGGCTCACCATGCAGGTAACGTGTCATTAATATTCACAAAGCGTCTTGGAGAAGGAGTGCTGGTCTAGGAATAGGTCCCCCCTGTCCTTACAATCCTATTCATCATTATCTTAAAAGGCTAAACTGGTCCTAGATCAGCACTTCTACTCTTGACGCTTTGTGAATACAGGTCCTGGTGTGTTTTCTGGGGCTGTGCTATCCGTAGTTCTCCAGTAGAGGGTGCTATAATGTGTTTCTGTCTCCTGTCTCAGTTGAGTGCTACTTGCAACATTGAACAGTCACCTTTCAACGACTGGTTCAGTGGACACCTCAACTTTCAGATTGAACACCAGTAAGTGAAACAAATATCACACTTTACTGTTGTCTGTGTCAACAGCATATATTGTATTTATAAGGTCATTGACATAATAAAGTAGGTAATAGTTTAAGCAGTTTGCAGCTTCATTTGATCTTAAATATAACTTAACAGTTGTTTTGTACTAATTACTGTATCTCGTAATAGTGTTTAGATACAATATCGATACAATCCTACTCAGAAACGGAGGTTTCTCTGAGAAACTGATAGCGTCTGCTCTCTCTCTCTCCCTCCCTCTCTCACCTTCCTCCACCCCTCTCTCTGTCTCTCCCTCCCTCCCTCTCCCTCCCTCTCTCACCTTCCTACACCCCTCTCTCTCTCTCTCTCTCCCTCTCTCTCTGTCTCTCCCTCCCTCTCTCACCTTCCTCCACCCCCCTCTCTCTCTCTCTCTCTCTCCCTCCCTCTCCCTCCCTCTCTCACCTTCCTCCACCCCACTCTCTGTCTCTCCCTCCCTCTCTCTCCCTCCCTCTCTCACCTTCCTCCACCCCTCTCTCTCTGCCTGCCTCTTTCTTTCTCTCTCTCTCTCTCTCTCTCTCTGTCTGTCTCCCTCACCCCCCCCCCCCTCTCCCTCCCAGTCTGTTTCCTACCATGCCCCGTCATAACTACCACCTGGTGGCTCCTCTGGTGCGTGCTTTGTGTGAGAAACATGGAATTCCCTATGAGGTCAAGAGTTTGCAGAAAGGCATCACTGATGTTGTCAGGTAAGTGGTAACCTCACATATACCACTACTTATCCAGGGGTATGCAGTAGTTTTAATGAATACTTTTAAGCGCTATCCTCTGGGAATACATTGTACATCATAAGGTGATACCTGCTGCTCTCAGGCTCCTATGTGATTTACCTGGTTTGTTATCCACCTCTGTTCCTCCCCAGGTCACTGAAGAAGTCAGGCGATCTGTGGCTGGATGCATATCTTCATAAATAAATCCCTTCCTGACTCTGGACGGGGTTTAATCCCATCGCACATTAACGACCTGCAAACAGAGATAGATTGAAAAGGACATTTCCTAGACGTTGTTGTTGACAATGATCGCTGCAAACATTATTGTGATGTAATTGTTTTAATCCTTGGCAGAAGTTAACGGGATTCATAGCAGCAATCCAGGGTTTATATACATCATTGGTAGGACCAGGCGTTAAAAAAATTAAATACATGTATTGACTTATATTTCCAGCATTATCCACTGGGTTTGATGCAGGCAGAAAATCCTAGGAAATGCTCTGTAATTGACACAAGTGGTCTCCAATCAATCATTCAATGTCTGGTTGTGCATTCGTTTTTGGTGGGGGGGGGGTAGCCTAAACCAGGGGAGGGGCAGCATACGAATCTTAATTAAACAAATACTATTAGCAGGGAATACTATTTGTAGATCAGTGATTTTACACCCCATTTTTACTTTGTGGTCCTCTGTAGCTCAGCTGGTAGAGCACGGCGCTTGTAACGCCAAGGTAGTGGGTTCGATCCCCGGGACCACCCATGTGGACTGTATGTCGCTTTGGATAAAAGCGTGTGCTAAATGGCATATTATTAAATTACTCAATCCCTGATCATCGGAGGTTATATAAATGGGGCAATTAGTACAGTTAAAGGGGAGAGAATATGAATCCAACCAGGAAATGTATTTTAAAAAGTCACTATCGCTTGTATTTTAAAACGTCACTATTTTGCAGACAAACAACATATTCTGCAAAACCTGCAATTTAACATTATAAATGGAAAGACAGGATAGACAGGACAGGATAGACAGCCATCTGAAAAAAACAGAATAATTATTCTACCTTGGAAGGTTGTGGATATAGTGAAACAGTCTCATCGTTACATAACAAGACATCAATCAACAACAATATTTCACAATGTATTCGTTGTCTGTTAACATATGGGTATGATAGGCATTTTTATATCAGTTATATGTAGAGGGTGAAATATAGACTATTTTCAGAACATAAATGGCTCGCCTATTTTCATTCACTACAGAAATAACCCAACTTCTCAATCTCTGTTAAGACCGCAGTATTTGGGGTGATACGCTTCTCCGCCTCCATTGAACACTGTTGAATAGTTCACTGCCTGTAAATACACTATCAGCCGGAACAACTTTAACATCTTCACCCAGCGCTCCTACAAAATGTGTGTCACTGGATTTGTCCTTTATTATGGAGATGCTTTCTGATTGTTTTACCAGACTGCGCCTCCGTCTTTACATGTGTGTTAATGAATTCGCGCAATTTGGGATTGTCAACTTTTTCGAGAGGGATGTTGGCGCTTGCAAAAGCCATATCCTCAGCATTTACGTTTTTACATGCATTTCTATAGCAAATGAAAATGCCTACTTTGTTCAGAAAAAGGCTACATTTTCTTAGATAAAATACCTATTATTCCCATTTTAATGTTAATACCAGACAATGAATAAGTAAAATGTTTATGTCGATAATGTATTTAAAATACGCTAATAATTAGGTGCATTAGGCTATAGCGTAGGCTGCTGATGAGAATAATTGTCGGCAAACGTTTCATTTGAAGTCGATCCACATGGTTGGGAATTCATTTTGGACTAATTAAGATAATTATGTTAGAAGATCATAGTATGACAATAAATTCACACATGATCTGAGAATGTGCGACATCGGCCTCTTGTGGTCGGATGATCGAAATGCAGGGTAGAAAAACACCTACCAAAACGCCTGGCCCTAATCACTGGTGCCAACCTGACTAGATAGACCATGCCTCCCCATACAGAAAAATAATAACATTTAATATATTTTAACAACATGTATGTACATGTATTTAGGCATATGTAAATTACAGATGTCTAAATATATGTTTAAGACTTATATTACATATATTTAAATATGTGCCACCCTGACTTGACATATTTTAACATATATATATATTCATATATATTTAAATAAATGTGTTTAAGCCTTATATTACATATATTTAAATATATGGACATATTACAAAATTTGCCTTTTGATATATTTCTTCATATGTTTATATTTAAATATATGGAAATACATTTTGATAGCATGCTGTGGTAGCTAGTAAAATAAATGCCCAAATATATTTCATAAATATATGTTGCCATGTATTTTAATGGATGGAAATGTTTTTGCTTTTTACCTTAATACAGTAGCTAGGCGACATTAAAATTCAAGTTCAGAAGTACACTAGTCTGACAACTAAAAAAATGAATGCCAAAAAAAAAAAAAAGTATAAAATATATGTAAAATTATTTGTAAAAATATGTGTAAAATACACACTCACACCACACAACGTTCTCTACCCTGATGATAATGTTGAGTCCAGTGGAGGCTGGTGGGAGGAGCTATAGGAGGATGGGGCTCATTGTAATGGCTGGAATGGAGTTAATGGAATGGAGTCAAACATGTGGTTTCCATATGTTCGATACCTTTCCATTTGTTCCATTACGATGAGCCCGTCCTCCTATAGCTCCTCCCACCAGCCTCCACTGGTTGAGTCTCTATTGATCTCTAGTACCTAGAATTAGGTTCCTAAAGTGGCGTTTTACACAAGTTGTAGGGGGGAAATACATTCTGCAGCTATGGAGGTATAGCCTACCTGCCCCTTACCAAACATAGTAAAAATAAACTAGCTGTTTATGTCGAAAAGACACTTGACTGTAGAACATATCTGTAAATACATTTACTGTCCATCCTTGGATTCCCGAGATGTCCATCACAATTTGAAATGGTCCTGAGCCCCGCCCCCAGCCAACTGACCTTACAATTTTGAATTTTCTTCAGAAGAAGGAGAAGAGCAGCTGTCATTGCCAAAAAAGCTTTTTCTTGGATAATGGCATTTTAATTGATTATACATTCATAACATTTAATTAAAATGTGTTTTTAACCTGTTGGGTGACAGAGGAAGAAGATTATTTCTTCAACTGCAAAGCAAGAGTGTGAATCAAGCTTGCTAACACACCAAGCTAGCTAGCTAGCTCCTTTAGCTTGCCACAAACGTGCAGTGTGACTGACCAAGGTAAGAATTGTTATGAAAATTGAAGTTGAGTAGAGTTCAGTTAATGTCATGTATGTATTAAATATCAATATGCTGTAGCATTAAGAATTCCCTTCACTGGAACTAAGGGGCCTAGCCCGAACCATGAAAAACAGCCCCAGACCATTATTCCTCCTCCACCAAACTTTACAGTTGGCACTATGCATTGGGGCAGGTAGCGTTCTCCTGCCATCCGCCAAACCCAGATTCGTCCGTCAGACTGCCAGATAGTGAAGCGTGATTCATCACTCCAGAGAATGCGTTTCCACTGCTCCAGAGTCCAATGGCGGTGAGCTTTACAGCACTCCAGCCAACGCTTGGCATTGCGCATGGTGATCTTAGGCTTGTGTGCGGCTGCTCGGCCATGGAATCACATTTCATCAAGCTCCTGACGAACAGTTCTTGTGCTGACATTGCTTCCAGAGGCAGTTTGGAACTCAGCAGTGAGTGTTGCAACCGAGGACAGACAATTTTTACGCGCTTCAGCACTCGCCGGTCCGGTTCTGTGAGCTTGTGTGGCCTACAACTTCACGGCTGAGCCATTGTTGGTCCTAGACATTTCCACTTCAACATAACAGCACTTACAGTTGACCGGGGCAGCTCTATGAGGGCAGAAATCTGATGAACTGACTGGTTGGAAAGGTGGCATCCTATGACGGTGCCACATTGAAAGTCACTGAGCTCTTCAGTAAGGCCATTCTACTGCCAATGTTTGTCTATGGAGATTGCATGGCTGTGTGCTCGATTTTATGCACCTGTCATGAACGGGTGTAGCTGAAATAGCCGAATCCACTCATTTGAAGGGGTGTCCACATACTTTTGCCTATATATTGTATCTACAGTGCCTTGCAAAAGTATTCATCCCCCTTGGCGTTTTTCCTATTTTGTTGCAATACAACCTGTAATTTCAATGGATTTTTATTTGGATTTCATGTAATGGACATAAACAAAATAGAAACAAAATAGTTTCAAAAAATTATAAAAAATTAATAACGGAAAAGTGGTGCGTGCATATGTATTCACCCCCTTTGCGATGAAGCCCCTAAATAAGATCTGGTGCAACCAATTACCTTCAGAAGTCACATAATTAGTTAAATAAAGTCCATCTGTGTGCAATCTAAGTGTCACATGATCTTTCACATGATCTCAGTAAAATATCAGAAACTTTGAACATCCCAAAAAATTGACAGAATATGGCACCACAACAAACCTGCCAAGAGAGGGTCGCCCACCAAAACTCACGGACCAGGCAAGGAGGGCATTAATCAGAGAGGCAACAAAGAGACCAAAGATAACCCTGAAGGAGCTGCAAAGCTCCACAGCGGAGTTGGAGTATCTGTCCATAGGATCACTTTAAGCCCTACATTCCACAGAGCTGGGCTTTACGGAAGAGTGGCCAGAAAAAAACCATTGCTTATATTAAAAATAAGGAAACACTTTTGGTGTTAGCTATGTGGGAGACTCCCCAAACATATGGAAGAAGGTACTCTGGTCAGATGAGACTAAAATTGAGCTTTTTGGCCATCAAGGAAAACGCTATGTCATGCGCAAACCTAACACCTCTCATCACCCCGAGAGCACCATCCCCACAGTGAAGTATGGTGGTAGCAGCAACATGCTGTGGGGATGTTTTTCATTGGCAGGGACTGGGAGACTGGTCAAAATTGAAGGAATGATGGATGGCACTAAATTCAGGGAAATTCTTGAGGGAAACCTGTTTCAGCCTTCCAGAGATTTGAGACTGGGACGGAGGTTCACCTTCCAGCAGGACAATGACCCTAAGCATACTGCTAAAGCAACACTCAAGTGGTTTACGGGGAACCATTTAAATGTCTTGGAATCGCCTAGTCAAAGCCCAGACCACATTCGAATTGAGAATCTGTGGTATGACTTAAAGATTGCTGTAC